GTATAGTATAGTATAGTATAGTATAGTATAGTATAGTGTATATTTGAATACTTTCAGAAGCTGTTTCCACATCCAAACCAGCCTCTGCTCCCCATATTGTTCCACTTACTATTGGAAGACTAAACCATAGTTAAATGCAGATAAGCACATATGCACAAAGACACACTCACACACGTTTACACACATGGGCCTAACCACATGCACATGTTTGGTCCCTCTTAACTAATTCATTCAGGAACACTTTGGTTTGGGTTTCAACACCAAAACCTCTGTACCGCTGATTGAGAAACGTGTCTGACTGCAATTATCTGGGAGGGACGAGTGGAAGAAGGGAGGGATGGATGAATAGAGGGAGGAAATGCACTACGGTGGTTTTTATAGTTTGCTGGCGTGATATTTTTCTCCACTTGCTTTTTTTTTCAACCTTTTCTTTTTTGGAGCCAGGGGTGTGGGGTACACACTGTAGTGTTGACAAGGCAGGAAAACGGGGGCAAACCAAAGTAGACGTAACAACAGGGAAAATGAGAGGAAAATGGATGGGCAATGGGGCTGAAGTGGCCTAGATTGTCACTGCTGCGCTTTCAATCAATAACGCTCAAAATAGCTGAGCTGCAATGTCAGAGAAATCTGTGGACAATCTTTTTGAGAAAGCGATGGTCGTGATCCCCGGTACGGGACTTTTTCCCCGCTTTAAAAAAAAAGGACTAAAAATTGTCATCAAAGCCTGTGCAGGATGGATTTTTTGGTGGGTAAGCATCACAAATATTTAGTTTGAGCACTTGCTGTGCAGTCGCACATCGATTGATGAGCGTTTGCTGCCACCACCGACCTGCAGTATGTAGCCCCTGACGTAGTCTCGGAGGGTCCAGCCCAGGCCGTGTAGGATGTGCAGCACTTCCTCCTGCTTAAGCACGGAGAAGAGTCGATCGAGGAGGATCTTGAGTCTGACGGGAACCGCCTGGGTGCCGTACAGCATCAGGCTGCTGATGTCGAACACGACATTGGACTGAACGATTTCCACCTGGGTCGGGTGGTAGAGGTGCTGGGTGCTGAGCTTGTCCAGAGCTGCAGTAGAAGACCAGAGAAAGAAGACATAATGCACACAGTTAGTGACTATCAGATTTCCCTCTAATACCAAATCCACTCATGTACGCTGCTGCACAGTCAGCACGAGCTGATAGCAACATATCTATTAGACAGAGGCAATGGCCTTAATGTGATTATCTGCCATTCTTTCTATTTAATGTAATATATGCTTCTTCACATTTACACTACCCTAGCATCTTTAGATTTATCTGTTTCTTTCTGCCTGTGACTGATCTGACTTATTTACTTGTATTCACACTTGTTCAAATGGCTTAATATTGTTTAGCTAATAAATCATACGAGCCAAAAGGCTTTTAGAGCTTAAACCTTTAGTGTCATTTCCCCTCAACTTCAGCAGAAATTTTCTTCTGCAAAAATATTGAAATATATTCCCTATAAGGGAAAGAAATAGAGATGTGAAAAAAGTCAATGACAAAAATTGAAACAAGCAAAACAAAAAAAATGTTTCACTGTTAGCAGTGTTTACAGGAAAAAATATTGTTTTTATTTTATTTGTTTTTACCAAATACTCAAAATAACTCATTTTTCTGTTACTACAAACCAAAACTCTTCACAATACAATAAAGTACAATACATGGTTCAATATATTTGATTGGCCTCTTGGAGAATTTAACTTTGAGTGAGGGTCTCCACCTCATGTTTAAAGCCATAACAAAGTTTAGCACCAGAACAGGTGTGGCCCACTTGCTGCCTGAGCACACGGTACAGTAGGTTTGTTATTACAGCAGAGGTGCAACCTCGTTCACCTCTTTCCCCTCTTTGACTGTCTGGGCGACACCTGTTAGACCCGTCTTCTTTGTCTCCGTCCTTCTGTCTTTCCTTACTTTATAC